CTATAATTTCTTTGAATTATACGAGCTTTTCCGTCATAATCAAGACGTTCCATCATTTCTTCATACGTTTCGTACGGTTTCGATGTAACGTATTTGTCCGATTCGCCCGATATAAAGCAGTCAGCTCTGGACGAGGAGAAAAGCATAAATCAACAAAGAACATATGCAAAAAATATCTTATTATGGTGGAAAGGACTTGAAAAGTTTTTTTAAAGCAAAGAGTAAAAAGCCTCATATACCGCCACATCTGCGTTGGATGGTTGCATGGTGTTTGGGTACATACATCTGCCCAAGCAATGTATTGCACTTTTCTACTACATTTCTGTTTTAATGATTGTCTTAGTGGACCTGTTTGAGACTCGGCATTTAAATATTCTACGCCGGTAATTTTGTGCTTCCATCCTCCCAAGTAGGGTTTCTTTATTTTTCGATCCTCCACTTGTACGAAACGGCAACAAACTGTTCTCACCATTTTTATGCACTTTCAACTAATAAAACATCAAATTAAAATGTTTTTAATTAGGATCGTAGAAAATTATTTCATTCGGATTTAATAAATAAAGAATTGAATGTTGAATATAGTACCGAGCTGGGAGTGTGCTTTTCATTTTTTATCAAACAGATATACAATACATGTGATACGAAGTTCAGTAAAATGATCAATTGAATAGACAATTTAGAGTATCTTGGATTATCATCTTTATTAGACATACATCGCTTTTTCACATAAAGTTGATGATTTACAAGTATTTTATTCTTCAGTTATTAATTTTACATTGAAATTTAGTGTTTCAATTTAATATTACAATGTTCGTGTCTGTACACATACACAGAATTTAGTGAGATATAAATTATAACTATGCCCGTGTAGAATGTAGAGAATATACGTGTTACACGTAAATAATCTAGATAAAATATGATCGATGAAATTGCGGAAATTGTTATTGCAAAAAAATTGTTGTCGGACCGTGTGTTTCATAGCTTAAGCCTGTGATATACCCAAAATGTTGCAGATGTCTCACTAACAAGAAGTGTTAACAATTTCATGGATAAGATGCGTTACTATACAACATTTCGAGACTATACACTCTGTACTTTATTTTTATTTACATTTCACAAAAATCTCTGAAAAGTTCACGAACCTTCTCTCAAATGATTGACGCATTCATTCTCTATCCACATGAACTCACTTAAAACATATATATATTTATGATAAACTATATACAAATATCATGTTTCCTCCTCATAGAAATTTATCCAGAAAATATGCTTGACAAATAATACATATCTGTACAATGAAGGATGTATCTTTAATAAAAACAAAGAAGAGAGGGAAGAGCAGTGAAAGTTGTATTAAAAGAAAAAAAAGGCATGGAAAGGCAACGGCACAAAAATATTTTTTTGCACGACTAAAGCTAGAATAAATAATATGTCATTTTATAGCGCGATGTGATGGCCATTTACAGATGACTTAGGTCAGTTTTATCAGTGGGAAATGTTGATGACACGAGAAATCGAATACTGGAGGTTCTTTGGAATCCTTTTTATGACCATCAGCGAGTAATTTTAAAACGACGAAATTTGTTTTGGCCACTTTCAATAAATCATTGATCTGTAAATCAAACGATACAAATCAGCGAAAAAATTTTAACGTAAGCACATACTCCGCTGCGCATAGATATTTGTAATACCTCGTTTATAGTACTAGCATTCGGTGAATAAAGAGACAACGCTCGTTCCAACATATTTCTAGCTTGATGAAAATGACGCCAACCGGCTACGTACAGTACTTCACTAGTGATCTTCCCCTAAGAAATTTGAAATTAAAAAAAAGATATTCCTCCATATTAAAAGAAAGTGATAGGATAATTACACTTACGTTTCTTTTATGCATTTGCGCGTTAGTCATATCTAAAAATTCCTGATAATGTACTGGCGGTGGCGTCAGTAACGAAGAAAACGGTAATAACCTGTGCTCGTATCGAACTCGTTCCGAATCGAATTGCGTTTCAGGAAGTGGTATTTTACCATCCATACGAAAACCAACTAAAGCCTTAAAATAAATAGCGTAAGTATACTATCGTAGCAATCTTTTTGTACAACACTTCATACATGTGAAACTTACTTTATAATATCCCCCACATATATTTTGCATGGCTTGATACATTAACATTTCTAAATTGTACGGTCTTGTGGTCGATTTCTTTTTCTTATTCTTCGCGCTCTTCTTACTACCTCTACCCTTATGTGTATCATTATGCACATCCTGTTCCATTAAGAATGTATTTGCCCTTGTTATAGCCGACACAAGCCATCCGTAAAGGAACTCGTACAAGTACCAAAATATATAATGATATTCATGCACTGAATACAATTCTAGCTCGAAGCCGCTTAACAAGTACATGACCATAACTCGTAGCGTATGGTACAAAATCCACGTTCCAAAACAAGCTAAATGTGTCCTCGGAGGCTCACTTTTTAATGACAACGTGTGTAAGAATCCATCGACTCTTTCAGCCTGTTTAAATTGAAAAATAATATCGAGTTTTTCAAACACTGTACGTCGTAAAAAAAATTAAGCTTACTTCGTCCTGTAAAGTCGCGAACTCGCCCAACATATATGCCAGTTTATCTCTCTGTCTTGCTCTGTTATGACCAGTAAGTTGAAGCAAACGGCTGAAAACGCCTACGCAATGAGACATGAAACTGTCAACGTATTCTTTTGCCTGATGGTTCTGAAGCATTGTGCTCTTTGGCATTAGAACCGGAGGCGCTATGAAATTTCGCGCTGCGTCTTTCAAAACGTCAGCGAAATGTTGTATACCAAATACCCGATATGTTGTGGATACATAAACTATTTGCAACATTGATCTAGATAATATACATGGGCCTTGCCGTGAGAATTCTAAAAAAAAGTCCTAAAAAGAAATCAGTGTATTTGGAATTTATATCAAATGTTTCTATTAACCTACAGTAAACATTTGCTTACCAAAGCCGCGTGAAATCCGTTTTGATTAGTAATCATAGTGACTGTTCTAAACCTATTTAATAATTCATCCAAATATTTTAAAGCCTCTATTCTTGGCTTTATTTTTGCATACCGTGGGAACGTTGGTGGTAACAATCTTTGATTTACCATAGGGTCGAATCCCATAATATTTGGATAGTTTGCTACGATTATTATAATGCAAAATGTATCCGAGATTCATATAAATCTGGAAATGACTATAAAAAAAGACTTACATATTTCGTCAGCATTTTCTCCACGATTTACTGTTTTAATCATAATTTGTATCATACAAGAGCATCTTGATAATAATGTATGGCAATCGCTTAAATTTTGTTGCAGCTGTTCCTTTTTTCCCATTAATGACAAAATTTGATAAAACATTTTGGTGAATCTAATTCTGGCATACAGTGCCAACCTATCGCTATACTACAAAAAAGAATAATTTAATCTATTACTTATATCCATTGCAACTTACATAAATTTTATGTGTTAAAAATATACACGTACTTTTTCCTCCGACACTACATGATTCGGTTTTATTCTATTCTTTTTAGGTAGTTCATCTTCTACTTCTCTTAACATAGATATAATTTTTTGTTCTGTAATATCCAATTGCAATTTATAACCATATGTAACACTCTGGAAATCTTCTTCCTCAAAGACTAATGCTTTATTAATGCAGTCTTTAATTATTTCAATTATCTTATATACAGCATAGCAAAATATTTTCAGTGGTTTATCAATTATTTGATTGGGCTGATGAAGATACAAGTTAGTGAAGACTGTTTGGGCTAAACTGTGACCCTCAAGCCAGGACACTATGCAGGCATACGTGGAATCTATTATTCCTATAACTTCTGATGGAGTTAGATTGTCCAATTTGATTGCACCAGAGTCAACAGCCTGTATAAAAGTACATGGTTTGTTGTTGCTCCTATTACATAGCATACCAACATCCATTTTTGGATCCATCATTTCAATTGCAGACATCGCCTCAAATAATCCAAACATGTCATCTCTTAATAATTCACCCAATTCCAATTCTATATGAACATAAAAATGAAATATTTCAATGATACAATTGTTGCATTTATCAATCGGTACCTGCAAGTACTAACAGAATGAACTGTTTATGTACAGGAACAAAATCACATTGATTATAGAACAAGACGAAAAAGTGTGAGAAAAGAGGAAAAAAACTAAAACGAAAATTAAGTTAGAGTTTGCAAAAAAGGAAATTAGTTTCAAAATAAGCACCTGTAATAGCTTCGAAAAATTCTTGGGTAATATCCACCCAATTGCAAGTGACTACGACGAATCTGCAATGTAAATAGACGTATGAATTAAAAAATATCGCCAAGGATCACGGATGATGTTATGCGTTAGGTTATTTTCCCGATGTGCCTAAATCAAAGTTATGGCATGCTCTCTAATATATTTTCATCTAACTGAACATTGTTTATAGACGACTTCTCCTTATTGTAATTAACACGTATCGTAACTCACTCTGATTCTTTATCTTCGCCCATGTCAACCGAAATTTGTTCTTCCACCATAGTCGCCATTCTTGCAGACTGACCTGTCACATTCAACGGCGCTACCAACAATAGAAATCTGTCTTATATTCTTCTGGCCAAAAATAAACCACAATAAGTTTTATCCTCGCCAAGTAATTTATAGTTTTGTAATTAATAGATATGTATAAACTTACGGCTCTTAATGATTAAACGAAATAAGTACCGGTATCATTCATAAGAATTGTACATGCAATGAACGAAATAAAAGGAGATGAATTGGTACTGCTCAAATGAAATGGGTTTAGGAACGCAGGTGATTTCAAACTATTCGAATTTGTGACACTTTCTGTTTCTGTTACACGAATCCTCAGAATCAGATGTTTTAATTCGTCAATTTCATAAGCATCTTCCTTGTATATTTTCTCACAAATTTGGTATCAAATGAGAGACAAGGTAGGTGGAAGTAAAATACTTCGAGAAAAATATTCTTTTGGAATTTCAAAGGATTCACGTAAATGATATGTTGTTTCCAGGAGCTTTTGAAAGAACTGAAAACACTTCGAGAACTGCAACTTCAATTACAGCAGTTTTATACTTTGTTACGATTAGTGAGGGCCGATTTAGAAAATATGATACGCAACTTCAATGAGTTAAATAATAAATAACTTCGTTTTTGTTATTGCATATTCGTAACAATCTTTGATCAGCCATATAAGCAAGAGACAAGTTCATCCAGATACGCAAATAATAGTCATAGTGCATATTCGACATTTCTTTAAATATATGTATATTTGAATAGGATTGCAAAATGGCAACGAATACTCTTGGGAATCCCAATGAAGCAAGCCCAATCCCATCGACTTCACGAAGAAAATCTTTGTACGTACAAGATACACCATCTTCTAATTTGTTAGAAAACAATGATGAGACTGAAAGAGCAATTATACGTAATGAGTTAACTGCCTCTACAACATCAACAGAAAAAACAAGTCTGAATAACACTAGAAAATCATTAGGCTTAAGCTTCTTGACCAAAGTATCATCACCTGAGATACAGGAGCGTATAACTGAATGTGTAAAACTTAATGCTGAAAACAAAATTAATGTAAAAAATGCATTTTCTCTTAAAATGATTGACTTTATGACTTACATGGTGAAGAAGGATGACACTAACATGTGTAATCTCCAAGTGGCTAGTGTATCCCTAGATGTGAGTACTACAATCTATAGTTATCGTGTAGATGGTGTTCATACAGAAATAATAAAAATAGCTGGTGGACTCAACAAGAAAGGAAATGAATGCATGGATAATAATGTGAATCCAGAAAATGGAGCACGTGAGTCACAAAACAATGAAAAGAAAAAGAAAAAGAGGAACAGACAAAAAATCTTAAGTACAGTCAATAGCTTAAAAGGAACTGTTAATAGTTTCAAGCCTGCGTTACATATAATGGAAAATGAGGATACACAAACTACTGATGCTCTGTACCAAGTAATGTTACCAAATCATGTAAATTCTAGATACTGTTTGCATTTCTGCAATGATGTTATCTTGGATACTGTAGAAAATAAAATGGAAGATGAGACGACAGAAGTGACTATTCCAATGATAAAAAATTTTTCTGATTTAAAAATTTGTCCACCCTTGGCTGATTTTGAGTTCCTTAAGTACTCAGATGATGAACGTGAAGAAAACAATGGTACACAATTAAATATGGATACTGGAGACAAATTTAAGTTTGATTTGGATGCTAGCTTGCCACCTGATGATGAAGTTTGCGATGATGCAAGTTATGTGAATATTCCTTTGGATACAAGCAACAGACAAGCAGATGATGGAGAAGATACTGATGTGCATGTCGAAGCACAAAGGCCAGTGAAAAAAATTGTAGACTTATGTGAAGTCGTATCTAGTAATGTTATGGCAGCACCATCAGAATATTCTTTTATTCCAAAGAGCTCTAATTTGCATTGGGCAGGTCCCTCTCATTGGAAAGTAAGGAATTTAACAAGAATTGAAGGTAGCAAAATTGAAGGAGCATGTCAACAAGAGCCGGTAAGAAAGAGAAAGGAAGTAGAGCTATGCTTTGACGGTACTGCACTAGAAGCAGTTGCGCCGAAATTCACTAAAGGTAGATGTATAACACTAAATGCAACTAAGTTAAAATGGACGGAAGAAGCTCTCATATTGCCACGAGATATGTGTTATGATATTGCAAATGCTAGCAAGTTATACCTTCATGAATTGATAACTGTACGTCCAAGAGAGGGGAATGATTTAAATGTTACTCACATTTCTGATCAGCTGGTAGATTATGATTATAATAATGAACACGATGCATCGTACTGTCCTAATCTACCCAATGAAGATTACGAAGAAGATGAAGAAGCCAATAATGGAAATGAATGTAATGTTGGAAGTGAAGATGCTAATCCAGAGGAGCTATTACCTTTCACAGGTGAAAATTTAGTAGCTGTTCCTAAATTAACAAGTAAGGTAGCCATTGCGTATAGTACTCGAGCGAAGAAACTTGATATGCGTCAACTGAAAAAAGCTATTTGCAAAATGCTTGATAACAATAATAATAACAAAGAAAATGTAAGTACAGAGAATACAGAGAATGTAAGTATAGAGAATACAGGGGCCCAAGAAAAAGATAAAAGGCAAAATGAACGTTTTAGCGAAGTTTACAAAAAATTGCCAGAGACATTGACAACGAGCAATGCTGAAGCTTTAAGTTTTCCGATAGGTTTTGTATCATTGCTACACATAGCAAATGAAAAAAATTTAGAATTAGAATCCGTTGAAGAAATGTCTGATATCGTTATAAGAAAATGCTAAGTGATGTTTAATACAGCCGCTGCGAATACACTGTCCATTTTTAATGAAGTGTACATAAGATCTTTTCGTACATATGCACAAATAACTTTAATATACATAAATTAACTTCTACTTTCCATTTCGTATAATTCTTATAAGTATCCTCCAGTCGCAAAATATGAAATCCATTTTTTGTCAGTTGCAGTAGTGGTGAATCAAAGAATAACAGGTAGGATCATCGAAACTAAGTGTACAATGTATTTGCATGATATCATTCAATTGTTCAATACACATATATTTTAATTAGTCAATGTATACTTTTAATTAGTAACATAACCATTCTGTAAACCTCATCTTATGAAGACACTAAAAAATTATCGTGAATGATTCATACAAATGTTTAAACATGATTGGAACGTCACGATATCTTTTACAGCCTATTGGGAGATGCATTTCACGCCGATTTTACAGAAGCATTTCAAATATGCCGATCGATGACGAAAAAGCAAAATATGCAAAAGACACAGGAAGTGAACAAAAGTCAGAAACCGAGACCGCCGCTAAGTCTGAATTTAAAGATTACGATTCCTTTCTGCCAGATCGCAAAGGCGACATAAAAGTTTGCATGATTGGTGGAAGTGACTCGTTAATTTACGCGGCCGTTCTTTTGAAACAATCACGCCTGATAAAAAGAATACATGTAGTAGACACAAAAGGTTCGTTTGCTAATGCAGTTTTGGATGCTAACCACATCGATACGTCGCCTCGTATAAAATGTTACAAGAAAAATCATTTGAAGCACGCCCTCAAAGAAGTACGACTACATTATTCTAGTTCTGAAATTTAATACGCACTTAGAATATTCCAGGTAGTAATATTGCAACATCATCGTACAGTTTGAATCGATATTATCTACAGATAAATATTATCGCGTTGATGGATGAGATAAATTTTAAATTTGACCTGAGTCCTGCCGCTCAATTTGAAGCTGTATCGGCGTACGTGTGCGAGATGGCTGAACAAATAGCACAATTGAGCTCAGAATCTTTAGTAGCCGTTTTTGTACGACCAGTCACGTTCACGCTTCCCATTGTTTCGGAAATTTATAAGCTCGCAGGATGGTGGGACCCAGACAGAATTATTGGTTCCATCGCGCTCGATCGTATGCGAATGGAAGCAATAACAGCAAATTTAATGGATTTAAATCCTGCTTTTCTATCGGTGCCGATGGTTGGCGGAGCAGATACGAATACTGTCGTTCCTCTTTTGTCACGCGCCACACCGATCAATCGGTTCACGAATGTACGATTTCCTTTATTGCACTATCTAATCGAACAATGAAGTGTTCCATCCATTTTTTAATGTTTCACATTTATAATTCGCGTAGGCGCAACAAAATATGCTGTTGCAGTCATTGCGTAATGCGGACAGAGAGATGGTAAATATCGAGTCCAAAGGACCAACGTTGTCCGATGGTGCAGCCGCCGTTAAATTAATTCTCGCACTCGCTGGTGGACTTAGCGGATACAAAAATATTATTTCCTCTGCTTACGTGCGATCGAACGTTATGCCTGTATGCCGATATTTTACGAGTGAATTGCAATTTGGTCCAGGCGGGGTGCAAAAAAATTTCGGTTTACCTAAAATGTCAGCTTCGGAAGTAATGCATGTCGAACAATCGATTCCTCTTATCAACGAGTACATTAGCCTCGCAACGAAAGCAATTCATTATAATAGGCATATCACGCTGAAAAATGTATGAATTAATCCTATCTGAAAATGACTAATCTTTTATTAGAAGTCAATGACACAATAAAATTAACAGCTATTGAATACATATTCATCATAATATTAACGTAAATTTGGTTTAAAAGAAAGTCCACTGTGTTTATCGTTGCAAATATATTCGCTACCTTTTCCATATTCAATAAAAATAATGCGGACGTATTGATCAAGTCATCGAGTCAATGCGTCATCAGTCCTATTTATACGTGGGTTTTTTAAATAGTTATGGATTAAATATACCGGATTATAGGGATTATCTTTATAAATATGATATATCGTTTTCAATTAAATGTAAATATATATAATGCAATTGTAGCGTTCATTATTTTATATTTCTTATCGTCGAGAGGGAATAAGCGCTCGTTTATACCAGTTTATACAAAATCGTATTTCTACAGTATGTGTCATCGCTTACACTTCAGTTTGATTTGCAGTTTCAAACAGGACGGTTATTTTAATTCTCCCTAAACTCCGATGAGCAAAAATAAAAAGTATAATTGACGTAGCTCAACTGTACGTTGTTTTAATTATAGATAATGCTATGTTTTATTTGAATTAAAGAAGACAAATGAAAACGATTCTCGACATCTGTTGATTCAATACGTGTTGTACATAGTGCGGAGTGCGGATCTGCGTATATTGTGCGAGCGAAAATGTAATGTTCATATTATCTAAAAGTGATGACGAATTATTTAGTGTTACTGCACAATGAATGTTTATAGACGATTAGATCTATAAATATCGGAACAAAACTTGGAGGGATTTAAATTTGGGTCGAGTGCACGTAGATACCGTTGAATACCGCCCGGCTAGGCTATTTTAAAATTGCACGAATCTCTTATTTTGAAATCTTACGTATCAACTACTTTACCTACGTTGATTGAACGGCTTGTTGTTCAGTTGGAAAAGTGATTAAAATTTCAACAACATGGGAATGATATTGTCGAAATTTCGTGTAAGTCTAAGTTAATAGTAGTAAATGTTGTAAATGTTTCATGATTTTGAGGTTAACGCTCATAGGAAATGTATTCTTTATTTATTTTTAAGAATGATC